TTTTCAAATCTCCTATGTTAATATTTATAGTTTCTTGTTACTTGCATATATTTTAAGACATTGTACCAATGTGCCTCCTCCATCCTCTCTCTATCCTTGCCTTAGAAACCAAATGTTGAGGTGCAGAAAAACAAGATGAAGAGTTCTGAACCTGGCCAACCACCTTGGATCTTTATCCACCTCCACTCTCCAAAGTGGGCATTAGGGTCTCAGCCAGCTTCAGGAGAAGTCAATCTGGAATCAATTTCATTCTTGCAATTAGCAGTGTTGAGGATGACAATGCTGGATATTATTATCATGGGGACTCTCTCATATACACAATTGTATATCTCGGAGTATAATATCTCCACCCACCAGATCATGCTCTATCTAGAGCTCCCCTCAATCAGAAGCTAAGAGGTGGGAGGAGCAGATAAGTGTCCGTCTTCTAAATACCTGTCTTTGAGTCTCTTCAGAGGAAGTATGTGCTACTATACACTAATATCCTAGATATTTATACTTAAGTCCTATAATTTTTCCACCCTTGACAGCCCATGAGTACTTTTAGGCGTATATATGCATTAACCAAAAACCCATTGCTATTGCGTTCATTCCAGCCCATAGCGACCCTATAGGACAGAGTAGAACTGCCCCATACGGTTTCCAAGGAGCAGCTGGTAGATTCAACCTGCCGACCTTTTGGTTAGGAGCGGATCTCTTTACCACTTCACTACCGGGGCCCCATATCTGCATTAGGTAGCGTTAAGGCAACTTCAGATTTTTACCTGGAAAAGTGGTGATGGGTCATATTTGCTCTGGTATTTGGAAGAAGGAGAGAGAGAGGGAAAGCCCAGATACCAGATGCTGACTGAGATTCAGCCGTCTCTGAGAAATTATGTCCATAAAACAGCTTAGAGACCTGGACACCTGACAGTAAGAATAAATCAGGACAGTAGCATATTATCTTGGCCTCTCAAATTGTTTCTCAAATCCAATTGTCAATTCGGATTTGACTTTTTACTCAAAGAAGAATACAGGACGTTTCTCAGCAAGTTTTTTTTTTTTTTTTTTTTTAACAATGAGAAGGCTTCCACTTTCTGGTGCCTGCTCTCCAGTTCTGTGATGAAATTAACAAGATAAACTTGAGTACTGTGTGAAGAAATTCTAAGGGTCCAGCAAACAGACTGGAGAAAATTCACACATACTGTTTCATAATGATTAATTAGGTTAAAAATATCCACTGAATTTTCCTGGGAGCAATGACACATCAATAGACATGTGCACACATAACATCTCATCATGATTCCTAAGTACCATTCTCCAGTACAATAAACCACGGCTTCTCAGAAAAATGTTTGTTTTCAAGAATGAGGGTGGGGAGGAAGTTCTACATAAGCTTTTACATCAGTAATATAAATCAAGGGAGAGATTACAAAATGATGGGATTTGTCAAAGGACACAGAAGTGGCTTCCACTGACCCAACCTAGAACAAAACAAGGATCAAAATAAGTTATGATGATAATAGATAATAAACCATTGAACGAAGTGAGAATCTATGCGTCCAAAATGACATAAATAAATGAATGAACTGAAAATTTGGTAAGTCCTCCTTCAGCCAGTTGACAATGGTCAGCATTAGAAACATTGAGAATCATACTCCTGAGAAACAGTTTTTAATTCTCCTGAAATCCAGGTTTCTGAATTCAGTGGAGTGGGGGTGACTTATCTAGGCCATTGCCCTGAGACTTTCTTTTGAACTTTGAGCCTTGAGCAGAGTGATCTCCTAAAAGCCACGTTTAAGTCAAACAATAGCTTTACTAATTATTAGAGATAATTTTGCATTGACATTGTGCTCTTTTGAAGACTTATCTGAGTGCAGTCAGTTTCAAGAAATGGAAACTCCAGGGAGGAACTGAAAGCTGTGTTTTATGGGAAATTGTTATTATGTTTCTAGGCTGTTTTCCATGGCAATGTAGATAAGAATTTTGGAGTATAAGCATCTTGGGAAGTTCTTTCTTTTCTCTTTTAAACACCTTGACTATCTAGTCAAAGGTGTTGCCCTGTTTGCAAATTGCATGTTAAGTAAAATTGAAATCAATTAATATTATTGACTTAATATGATTTTTTTAACACTCCTCACCAGGACCCAACTGAAGGTTATTCTTATACTTTTTTTTAAGTAATTCTTATTTCCATACAGTGTAGGGCAAAGCATTTCACCTCTCTGTGTAGGTTAAGAATCAAATTATTAATGATGAGTGCTGAATTTTCAAGATGAAGACCAACATTGCTTTATTAAGTTTTATAAGGAAAGAATACATCTAAGACACTCAAAATTTAAAAAGTTGAAAATGAAAGAAATGGGGAGGGGAGTAAAAAACCTTAACAAATTAAATAGGGAGCAGTAATGTTCTCTTCTCATAATTTGTCATCAACATCCAGGTTCTTGGGTGGAAGCTCATTGATCAGACTTAACATTTCTGCTCAATATCTCTTCCTACCAAAAATCATATTCATGTCATAGAGTAGCGACTCGTACTTTTATTAAAATGAAATTGATAAATTTATTGAAAGTAAAGAGACAGCTCCAGCCGGGAAGAGACTGAATTCCACAGAGAGAAAACCAGCAATTCAAAGTGGTAAATCTGCAGAGACACTTTATAAGAAAAGAACAAGGAACTAGATGTATATTACTTGATTGGTACTTACAAAATTAGGTCATTGCAAGGCAGGAAATACACTATTTGATATTTAGTTACACACTTAGGTCATCATAAGGCAGGACTTCCTATGGTGGGATCTCATGAGGCGGGACTTCCTATAGCTGGGGAGTCACTGGGTAGTTAGCTCATAACTGCTGGAAATTCCTTTCTTAGAAACAGAACTTTTCCTGTGAGTATTTGCCTGGGAGATTTAGATAAGGTTTGATGCTAAGGTTGCCTCTCAGAGACATTGTCTTTATGTTCTAACTTTATCACAAAGAAAAAATATTTCTGCAGCTACATGATTAAGTCTACACAGAAGATGGCTGCTGCTAGGGTGAAAACAGAACTAACGAAAGGGAGTCAAACCCAGATCACAAGCCACCATTTAAATTTTACCAGGTACCTCAATTTTTCATCCCCTTACACATTTATGTAGATCATCCCAAAAGATAATCAGACTTGGAGAATAAACATTCTTCAATCTTTCACCTAGAATTGTATTTCCTAGTTGATTTTTAGATGTGATTTTGAATTCCACAAAATTGTCTTAAAATCAAAAGTTATTTTAATTTTCCAGGTTTTTGTTTGCATGTTAGTGACAGTCCTTGTCGAGTGATAAGAATTTGGCAGCATTTTTCAAGTTCAGGTCAACATTTACTTGAGTCATGCTGACGTGGAAACCTCAGAGCAATCAGGTTGTTTTCCTACTTTAAGTTGGGGGGAAGCATTGTAACCTAATTTCACCCAGGCAGCCTCTAATCCAAGCATCCTAAACTAGAGTGACCATAAGAAATTTAAGATTCCAGTAGGAATTGGTGCATGTTATGCTAGACATAACACATTTGGATCAATTCTCAGTGTACTTCCATTTAGAATGTCCGTTTGACTGAAGAGCCATACTCCACTTATGTTCACTGACATAGCTTAACATCATGCAAGGAGCAGAAAGACACTGAGGAGATCAGAGTTTTGTGATGATAGAAACTTGGTATAGAATGAGCTGTTCTAACACCACTCAGAAAAAAAAAAAACATGAAATATTTTCATAATCATCCAACCCATACTTCCCCAGCAAGTCTACTGCCCCTTAAGGCATCACTGTCTTTAGAAATGGAAATTCTTAGACATTGATGTAAAAGGTAAATTGCTACGTATTTGTGGAAAGTGTTCTGTCATAATCCATTGAATTTATGTTTGGTGACTGGTAATTCCAAATATGAGAATGTACTACATTAAAATGAAAGCGCCATTTCTAACTAACGTGCTAAAACACATTCACTGATACAATTTTTGTAGTACTCAACAATTGAAACAAGGTTCATCAGTGAGAGAGGGTTACTGAAAAAGTGGTATATTCCTTCCAAAGTATAGTTTATAAACATTACAAAATATAATTTGATAAATATAATATTAATCATTGAATTTTCCTTGGTAAACTATTATGTGTAAGAGAAATGTGACATTTTAGTAAAAAGAACAAGATAATATTTTTTGTATAACAAAAAGATATATATATATACACACTAGAATTTTCATGTTTATTGTCTGAGTCATAAAATTCTTTCCCCATTTCCTGTTACCTTAAACTGGATTCTGCACTTTCTATTTCCATGTTTCCAAGAGTCAGTTTTTTCTCTCTGTCCTGCTCCGTTAGCTTGTGTGTTCTTACCGGATAATGAGTGTCGCTCATCAGCACAAAGCAAGCAGTGAGGACAAAGTGGTCATCCACTTACCATCTCCTGCCATGACTGTCGGAGAGACACCTGCATCCAACATCTAACATAACAGCAGTCAGCCTGGTACAGCAGACAAGAGACAAGTGGTTGAACCCTGTCTGGTCCTTCCTGTCATTTGGAGATTCCCCAGTCAGCAGAAATGGTGGAGTTGTTTCCTTCTCCAGGTTTGATGGGCGGGAGCCAAGCAGGACAGCCGTTTGCCTCCCAGACATTAACTCTGGACACACATCTCTACATCTTTGGGGTCTTGGATGAATCAACAAGATAATAATTTCTTAAGAGTGACAGGTCCACACATACTGTGTCTTCTACATATTGACTCATAGTTTTTCAGAATCTGACCCATCTCTTTCTCAGGCAGCATGGAATTCTTCTCTGTTGGTTTTTCTCCAAACACAGAAAAATTTTATATTTATTCACACTAAAGCCTACCCTCCCTTTGATACTTTCCACCCTGCTGCACCCCCAAAAGATTTGCATATTGCTCACTAGGGAGGATCTTCCCTTGCAAGTCTGAGATAAATGGTCAGCTCCAGACTTGCCTTTACTTATCAGACCTCATCAGTTCATCGTCTCAGAATGAGGTTCCCTGCTCAGCTGCTGGGGCTGTTAATGCTCTGGATCCCTGGTGAGGACAGAGGAAAGATGGGAAGGAAAAGCGGGTGAGGAAGGTGAGTTCTGGTGCAGTTCCTTCTTGTGGGTATTCTGAGTGCAAGTTAGATGCGCAAGTTTTAGAACTGTGTGATTAAGGGGCAAAAAAGGAACAAGGATCAGTCCTCTGTATAAGACCTTAACAAAGAAAGAGGTCCCTTTAAGATAGGCAAATCTCAGGGTTTTTTTGTCACTGAATATATTTGGGGTATCAATTTAAATAAATCATAAAACAATTTATTAATAAAAAAATTATTAAGCCGGAAAAAGTAACAGAAAATTACACCTAAGTTTTGTACATAACCTTGAATTTCTGTCTCATTATTTTAGCATCCAGTGGGGATATTGTGATGACTCAGACTCCACTCTCCCTGCCCATCACTCTTGGAGAGCCTGTCACCATTGCCTGCAAGTCGAGTCAGAGCCTCCTACACAGTGATGGGTACAGCTATTTGAACTGGTACCAGCAGAAACCAGGCCAGCCTCAACGGTTCCTGATCTATTGGGTTTCCAACCAGTTCTCTGGGGTCCCAGATAGGTTCATTGGCAGTGGGTCAGGAACAGATTTCACTCTTAAAATCAGCAGGGTGGAGGCTGAGGATGTTGCAGTTTATTACCACCAGAAAGTTATACAAAGCCCTCCGGCAGTGGTACAGCCCTGCATGCAAACCTCCTGCTTGATGTGGCCCAGCTGCTCCAGTGTGTGGCCTATGTGGTGAGCAGGCCCATCAGATTCTTTGAGTCTGCTTGAGAGGAAGATGCTAGAGAACTGCGGGGAATGGGTTGCAGCTGAGGACTCTGGACCATGAGAGCCTTGGCTACAGCTCAGGCGTCACCCGTTTATGGCCCAGTCAGCTTCACCAGCCTTAACATGGCAGAACCAGCAGGGAGGATGGAGGGGGGCCCAAGTCTCTCTGAGCAAGAAGACCTGATGCAAGGAGAACTGACTGAAAGCTCAGTCCTAATCTCCCTGCCAGTGTTAAATTTAGTCAGCATAATAGGCAGACCATTGACACAGATTTGTGACAATACAAGTCGAATACAGATTGAATATGTGATTTGGAAGTATTTTTTCTCAGTTTGTGGTTTGTCTTTTCATCCTTTTAACTGAATCTTTTTAAAGCAAAAGGTTTTAATTTTGATGATGTTGAATTTTCAAATTTCCCCTTATAAATTATGCTTTTGGTGTCAAGTCTAAAAATTATTTCCTTTGTTCTAGGTCCCCACAATTTTCTCCGATCTTCTTAGTTAGATGTTTTATGCTTTGTATTTAAATCCATGATCTATTTTAAGTTAATTTTTGTATATAATGAGAAATTTAAATCGATGTTCGCTATCCACCCACCTTTGAATTGCATTTGTTCCTTTGTGAAAAATTGATTGGGTATATTTGTATTGATTTCTGACATCTGTGTTCCATTGATCTGTGTGTTTATTCTTCTACCAGTACCACACAGTCTTAGTTGTTGCAGCTCTAAAGTAAGCCTTACTATCAGGAATAGTAACTTCTCCCATTTGTTCTTCTGTTGCAAATTATTTTGTCTATTGTAAGGCTTCTCTGTATAAATTTTACAATACATTTGTCTATATCTACAAAGAAAATCCCTGTGATTTTGATAGGAATTATGTTAAACCTATATATCAGTTGAAGAGAAAATTTGTATCTTTACTATGTTGAGTCTTCCAATCCACAAACACTATATGTGTTTCTAAGCATTTGGGTTTTCTTTCATCAAAATTTTATAATGTTATTATACCACTCTTGTACATAATTTGTAAGATTTACATAGCAGTTATTTTATTTCACTTGGAGTATTTGAAAATGAATTGTGTTTTTTAAGTTTCCACTTGATTGTTATCAGTATGTAAATGTGGTTGATTTTTGTGTGCTGATGTTAGGGGCTAGATCTCAATTGTATGCTACAAACTTGCCATATTCACTTATTAGTTTTAGAAGATTTTTTTGTTTTATTTGTTTGTTTTTTTGGAAATTCCTTGCGTTTTTCTACATAGAAGTCTTGTCAACTGCATATAAAGGTAGTTTAAAATTCATGTTTTTAATCTGCATGCCTTTTGCCTTTTATTTATTTTTCATTAATTATTGCACTGGCTAGAACTTTCAGTACTATGCTGAGTAACAGTGATGTGGATGGACAGCCTTGCCTTTACTTTGTCTTAGAGAGAAAGTATTGTTTTTCAGCGTTAAGTATTATGCTAGCTGTTTATTTTTTGATAAAGGTTGAAGAAATTTACCTTAATCTCTAAACCAAACCAAAACCAAACCCTTTGCTGTCGAGTCAACTCCGACTAATAGCGACCCTGTAAGACAGAGAACTGTCCCATAGGGTTTCCAAGGAGCACCCGGTGCGTTTGAACTGCCAACCTTTTGAGTAGCAGCTGTAGCACTTAACCACTATGCCACAAGGCTTTCCAGTATCTTGATCTCTGGAGTACTGAAAATTTTTGTCAAAAACAGGTGTTGAATTTTGTTGATGCTTTCAATGTCAATTGATATGATCATATGATTTTTTTTTTTTTTAATTTTGGTTGTTGTTATGGTTGATTACATTGATTTGCAAATATTAAACCAACCCTGCATATCTGGAGTAAATCCCACTTGACTGTGGTATGTTTTCCTTTTGTATACTCTTGGATTCATTTTGCTAAACATTTGTTGAGAATTGTTGCATCTGTGTTCATGAAAATAATTAGCCTCTAGTTTACTTTTTGTGTGCTGTCTTTATCTGGCTTTGGTATCAGGCTAAACTTGGCCTCCTAAAATTATTGAAAAGCGTGCTGTTAAATATTAACTAAATATTGATGGCCATTTGTGCCAGATGCAGGACCTTTCCCAGAAAAAATACAACAAAATGGCAAACTGTGCCAGGTACAAAGCTTGGCAGAACAATAAGGAATTTTCACTGTGTTCTAATCAAAGGGACTTTCCGAGAAACACAACTTGACACTGAAGGATGTTTCTGACTCACCATACCAGACACAACCAGTTCTCTCAGACCAGCATAGCTGTGGAGCCAGGAATAGGAAGATCCCTGCTTTGCAAAACCCTCCCTTCAATTAAGGACATACCTGAAACCCAATCATTCTAACTTCCCTACTGGAAATCCCCTATTACCTTGAAATGCTCTCTACTGAAGCTGCTTGAGCAAGCCCCTGCCACTTTCACCTTGGAAGTTCCGTTTGCAGACAGCCTTGCACTCAAATAAACCCAGTTAAGTTTAATTGACTCAATCATTTTTTTTCAACAGGACCTTCTTCTATTTTCTGGAAGAGATTGGGTACATTTGTAGTTAATGTGTGATAAAATCCTCCAGTAAAAACATCTGGGAAGGATTTTTTTTTTTTTTTTTTTGAGTATTTTAGTTACATATTCAATTTTTTTACATTATAAGAGTGAGCTGGTTATCTATTTCAACTTGGCTGATATTTCTAGTTTGTGGTTATAGAAATTGTTCCATTTCTTCTAATTTATAAGTGTAAACTTCTTTGTAGTAGTCCTTCATTATGCTTTTAATAGCTGTTGCATTTGTTGTCATCTCTCATTTAATAACTAATGTAGACTGTAATGAGTTTTAGCTTTTGAGTAAGTGAGCATTCACAGGAATCAAACATAGGTACACTGCCATAATAATATTGCCTTAAAATCTCATCCTGACTTTCCCTGTCATGAAATCCTCTCTGAGAAGTTATTCAATTTTGCCCATCCATTCTTTTGTGAAGCTGCTAATGTCTATTTTTTTCTTTCAGACCGATATGGTCCTAATGCTACTTACTTGAACATGTTACATTCCCACATTTCTATGGATGTAAATTCCCTAGAGCAAAGTCTTTGTAGTTTGTCAACTTATTTTGCTCCTCTTCTTTTTTTCTGAATAGTTTCACTTTTTTAATCAATAGACTTTATTTCATAGAGCAGTTATAGATTTACAGAAAAAATAAACAATAATTACAGAAATTTCCTGTATACCCTCTCTCCCAACTCTCTTTCTTCTATTATTAACATCTCCAATTAGTGTGCTACATTTGTTATAATCGGTGAACTAATGTGGATATGTTCTTAACTAAAGACCCCAGTTTACATTAGAGCTCACATATGTTATACAGTTCTACAGGGTTTGACAAATGTATAATATGAATTATCCACCATTATATTACCATACAGAATATTTCCACTGCCCTAGAACTACTGTGCATCACCTATAAATTCACTGTTTCTTACACTCACAAAAGGCATATGTTTTTACTCTTTCATTCCAAATACTTTCTAATTTCCCTTTTTACTTTTTTCTTTGACCCAAGTTTTACTTAGAAATGTGTTATCTACTTTCCAAATCAGTTTGGATTATTCTGATAACACTGTGTTACTGGTTTCTGATAGAACTACCTTGGCTTCAGATATTATACGTCATATGATTTGAACTCATTGAATTTTATTGACATGTTATCGGCCATAATATGGTCTATCTTAGCAAGTATTTTAAAAGCAATATGTTTTCTGCTGTTGTTTGAAGAATGTTCTCTAAGTGTCAATTATGTCACGAAGGTTGACAGCGTTGTTCAAGTTTCCTATATCCTCACTGGCTGCACTGAATACTGGACCTGTTGCAGAGCCCTTTGCTACTCTGAGGCCCTCTCAGTGCTGGCTGACTCCATGTATCTGGTGTATGGGCCACACCAGTATACCTGGGAGTGGAATGAAGGTCCAGAACTCAAAGAGGTCTACCAGGTGTTTCCTTCCTGTAAGAAAAAGAAGACACACACCGTAGATACTGGGATAGAATATATATTCCCCCTTATACCTTGTTTACGGGGCACACAACAGCTGTCTTATCGGTGGGAAACAATATTTCATGCCATTTTGTGTCAGCTATAGAAGACAGCTCCCAGAAATACAAACTTAACATAATCTTCAGCTCAGGGACATCAGCCACCAGACCTCAGCCAGAATATTGCCTGCCTACACAGGAAGACCTCCCGGGTGATTGTCAGATGCCCTAGCTCATCTTGACACAATCCCTAGATTTGTGCTCTAGTTAACCAGTTGATGTCACACTCATGTCACACTCATGGTGATCCCAGGTTTATCAGAGTAGAACTGTGCTCCATTGAGTTTGAAATAGCTGATTTTTCTGAAGTAGGTCACCATGTCTTTCTTCCAATAAGCCTCTTGTAGACTCAAACTTCCAACCTTTTGGTTATCCTCCAAGTATGTTAATTGTTTGCACCACCCAGGGACTCCTGTGCTCTAGTTAAATTATCTGTTGCTGGCTAGTCAATTACAAGTCATAGAAACCTTACAGGACAGAGTAGAACCACCTGATAGGGTTTCCAAGGCTGTAAATCTTTAAAAATCAGACTGCCACATCTTTCTCCTGTGGAGCGGCTGGTGTTAGAAAATCTGAACTTTTGGTTAGCAGCCAAGCTCTTTAATCAGTGTGAAACTAGGGCTCCTAGTTATTATTGTTCTTAGGTGCTGTCGGGTCAACTTCAACTCATAAGGGTACTGTGCACAACAGAACAAAACACTCTTTGCCCCTGTGCCATCCTTACAATCATTGTTGCAGCCACTGTGTCAATCCCTTTTGGTGAGGGTATCCTCTTTTTTTGTTGATCCTCTATTTTACCCAGCATGATGTCCTTCTCCAGGGACTAATCCCTCCTGCTAACATGTCCAAAGTACGTGAGACAAAGTCTTGCCATCTTTGTTTCTAATGAGCTTTCTGGCTGTACTTCTATCAAGACAGATTTGTCTGTTCTTCTGACAGTTAATGCTATATTCAATATTCTTTGCCAACATCATAATTCAAAGGTATCCATTCTTCT